TATATATATATATGTATATGTATATATATATATACATATACATATATATATATACATATATATATATATGTATGTATAAGATATTAATAATAAGTATATTTTGTTACGGAGTCTAAGAAGAGGAGAAACTTCGAGTGACAGAAAGAATGATACGACGGATGAGTTGATGCGGCCGATGAAAGAAAACACTGAATAGCGGAACAGGAAACGCAACGAAATAACGAAAAGGAACGGAGTAGCACGATTCGGGGAGCGACGGTTGTTCGAAGATAAAAAAAATCACGTGACGAAAAAGATATGGTCGAACAGGCGAAGGAAGGTGGCAGTAAAACTGGAAGGAGAGAACGCGACGCTGAAAGGTTCTACTGAAAAGGAGAAAAATATACCAAAAGATTGAGGTAAAAAAAAAGATCGGAAGAGGATGAGTGGCATCGATATGGAAACGGGTGCGTGTAAGAAAGCCGATTTCGACAAATTAATAAACGTTACTTTAGTTAAAATTTAAGTTTATATATTTTTGGCGTTGTTATTCTTTGTTTTGTTAGTTTTTTTATTGTAATTTTATTTACGTACTGACATAGGCGTTGTGTGAGCTCGTTGACCCTTTTTTCGTTGATTCATAAAGGTCAAGATCGTTTCATCAATCAATCAATTCACTGTTTTCACGTTCTTACATGTGGCAATGAGAGTAGTAAGTGAAACAAGGTAAGTTGTTTTGATGTTAAATTGTGTGCTCGTAAACACGACTTTATAAATATATATATATATATGTTCTATATGGTAATTATATTTTATTTGTCATTTTTGACGCTCCGATCGTAAATGTAATTGTGTGGTGTATGGACATGATTCTACGACCTGTAATTTGTTTCTGCCACCTAAATCAATTTAAATTCTCGTACAATGTGATTCTTGCATAATTATTATTATTATGATCTCTTATTCTTGCGAACCACTTCCTTAAAAATAGATATTTTTGAACAGCGACTCTTTATTATGCCACGTCCACAAGCAAGCTTGCTCGTGCTGCTTCCTCAGCGTGCACAGGCTGGACGGTACGTACGTCTTGCTCGAATGCGTTGCCCTTTAAACGCAACAGTAATAGGCCAGAGGTGATAGCACAAGGTGGCGTTCGGCCTCATCTCGCCTATAAATCATGACAGGCCGGCGCCCAAAGCAGATGACTGTAGATACCGAAAAACTTCAAATAAGACGGAAGCTGAGAATAGAAGTTGATACTTCGACAAATGACAGAGTCGTTGGTTCAGCGCCGAACCTGCGAATTTATTATATACAATATACATTATTACTATGATTGTACTGTACATAGACCTGTGTCCTATTTGCCTCTAACAAACACAATATTTGCTGTGAGGTGTTGAGACAACTATTGAAGTAATAAGAAACTGTTACTAACAAAGAAAAACAAACGAACCAGTGTAGCAACAACAACAACAACAACAGCAACAGCAACAGCAACAACAACAACAACAATAAGACTGTGAAATTGTGCTAACTAATATTCAGAAGATTAGAAATATACAAAAGAAACGTTTAGGATACTGCAAACATTTGTAGATCATAGTGCAGGCCGCGACAATGGAAATCACTTGATCACGCGAATCTTACAAGCGCTGGCCGACATCGGAAGGTTAGTTCGGGCGTGTTATTAAAAAACTTCCACCTATCAACTATTGTTCTCTTAATAAGAATAATAAGCCCCAAATATTGACGAGGGCAAATCCTATTATATGATACAATCAACGCTGATTCAGTGACTTTCAGTAACGGTACTGCAGCGCAAGTCATCGTCAGCCAATGTCGATACATAGTATCATGTGTTTTGTGTGTAACTGTGCCAGTGGAAAGATGCGAACGGGCGTCGAACACCAGCATCGTGACGTTGGGAGAACACAGAACCGACTGAACCACTGAAAATGCCAAACTGACCGATCTATTGCTTCCTTATGAACAGACACCGTTTGTGAACGAGCCATGAAACGCGACCAGGAACGTTCCTGGTTCACATGCATTATTTCGAAAAAAAAAAAAAAAACAACGAGGCAAGAGATTTGCTGCGTTATTCCAATCATAGAACAATTTCTATGGAAAAGTCGGAGGACAGAGTATGTGTGCTTAGGCCGCAATGAGAGCAAAATATCTGGCGATGATTGGCTATTCTTCGATCGATGTCCTCGATCAAGATCAATGAAGCTTTAAGAAATATGAGAGATGTGCATAGTAACAACAGCTAACCCACTGACCGAGATGATATCGTACCATGGAAATCTAGATTGGTTTTGGATTCAGTCAAAAAGAGCAATAACTGCGAGAAAAGAATGACAGCGCTTGAGTATTTAAGGTAGATAGAACAGATCAGTTAAAACGGGTAGTACATTAAGA